TGTCACTTGGAGGAATAGATGAATTATTATTTTTCCTAAAGATAATTTTTTAAGGTAAGCCAATTATGGGGATTTAGTTAATAAACTATTCTAATGCTATATTAATTAGTCTTTTTATATTAATATATGTTTATTAATTTATTATTGTAGAGTGAGCTTGGTTTGGGCTCTTGGGTTTGAATCCTCCTACTCTAAGTTCTTGTGTCAAGAACTTGAGGTAACCACTTTCTAATTTACCTTGTATGCTTGTTGATGTGATTATAAGCATGTGTTGATATTATAAATGTTATCAATATTTGTTATGGTGATTTTTGTATGAAAATTAATTTATATATCTATATCAAGAGTTATGTTTCGTTAAATTTATTAGTTAAGTGGGTATGAATTATTTCATCTTATGAATGTCTTATTGATGTTAAACAAATTTGATTATTGAATCTGAGAATACTTTATGGATATGAAATTGTGTGGAATTGGATGGTTGGATTGTGCTGTGTTGGTTGTGCTGAAATGTAGTTGTGGGAGGTTTGATTATTTATACTACGTGGTATAGCCACCACTTGGCGCCCAGTGGTTGGCATTAACATTCTTAGGGCTCTCGGTATCACCCTTCCTTTGGCCGGGTCAAGGGTCAGCCCAAGGGACATGACACCTTTCTATATTCCAAGGAAAGGGAACCCATGGTCCGATATGAGCTCTGTAACTTTTGGCCGAGTTACACCTCATTATTGGAGAGCTTGGTGCAGTCTTGTAAAAGAGACAAATCCTGTTATGTGTGAATAGCCCATGGGTTCTGTCAGAGGTTACAAGGAGGTTATAAGGATGGTTGATGAAGTTCTATGCATGCAAGTTACTTTTTGAATTATTATATATTGTTTTCTGTAAAGATGTTTAACTTATATGTTATTTGAAATTGTACTTTGCCCGCTTAGCTATCTTGCAATCACTCCCTGGATACTTGTTGAATTGGAATTGTGGTTATTGGGTCAATTTGACTCACCCCGTGGTTATTTAACATTTTTCAGGCGAGGGTTCAGGTGTTGGTCCCAAGGGGAAGGTGTCCGAGGCTTGAGTTTTCCTTTCCACTCTGTATAGCCTCTATTTTGTTATACATGATTTGACTGATGTATATTGCCAAACTTTAGGGCCTTTTTGTTTTAGTTAACATTATCATAGCCTTTTCGCTGCATTCTAGACTTGTACTATTGGGCGGAGCCCTTTTTGGACATATGTGATTGTTATTTTGATTGCACTTGATAATGGGCAGCAGTGGTAGTTGTTTAGGTGGACTTTAAATGCCCTAGCCCATTTACAATTGGTCTTAATTGTATTTGAGATTCCAGAGTATTGCTGATGGATTTGATATATACATGAAAAATCAAATGTTGATCATTTCTTATTTGATTAACTATCCTTACTATTCTAGAACAATAGCTACTACTCTGTTAAAGATTTGGATTATTATTGACTATGGTAGATTTCTATTTGTTTAGGTTTGTCCTTCCTACCATGGCTAGCCTTTTTAAAGTAATTATCGTTTTGAAAATGATTATTTACCATGTATTACGGGGGTTGTTACAATTAGCACAGCTAGATCAACTAAATGATCTAGCTCATGATAGTACGTTGTGGGTAAAAAAGAGACGTGATACATGGGTGGAGCTTGAGAAGTGTCTTATTCAAGAAGAAATCATGTGGTTACAACGGTCACGGTGCAATTGATATAGTTATGGGGACAAGAATACTCAGTACTTCTACTCCTCTACTCAACGTCGGAAGCGGAGAAAAAATATTGAAGCACTGAAAAAGGAGAACGGGAAATGGTGCTACAATCAGGATGAATTAAAGTTGTTAGGCACTCATTATTTCCAGCAACTTTACACCGAGGAAGAATCTAGCAACCCAGAGGTATGTTTTGGAGCTTCTTTCCTAGTTGTGCAACCAAATAAGTTGGAGGCCTTCGGTGTGATGGTGTCAGCTCACGAAGTCAAACAAGCACTGTTTAGTATAGGTGCTTTGAAGGCCCTAGGTCTTGATGACCTAAATCCTTTGTTTTATCAAAGCCAGTGGGAGACGGTGGGCAGCTCCATGTTTCGGTTGGCACAAGAAATATTTGCAAAGCCAGGCAGAGTGAAACAGGTGAATAGTACAAACATTGCCTTGATTCCTAAAATGGAGGTTCCTCAATCTTTTCGAGATTTCCATTCAATTAGCCTATGTAATGCCATTTACAAAGTTGTTACAAAGATTCTGGCTAATCGTCTCACAGGTGTAACGCCCCCGGTGGTCACCCTGAATTGGTGTAGCTTTGTTCTAGGTAGGCAGAGTGTGGATAATATTATTCTTGTACAAGAGATTATTCAATCTATGCAGAGTATGAAACGACAAAAGGGTTTTATGGTTTTGAAAGCAGACCTAGAGAAGGGGTACGATAGGGTCCGTTAGGACTTTTTCATGGATTGCTTGAGGGAGTTAGGACTTCCAATTAAGTTTACGGACCTAGCTCAACATTGCCTGTCCTTCACAAATATGAGAATCTTATGGAATGGGGAAAAAGGTCCTATGATTATTCCAAATCAGGGTGTCTGGTAAGGGGACCTCCTGTCTCCCTACCTGTTTGTTTTCGTCATGGAAAAGTTTGCTCACCTAATTGAGCATGAAGTTTCTTTGGGGAACTAGCTCCCTTTTCATCTGAAAAAAAGAGGTACAGCTATCTCTCACTTATTTTTTGCTGATGATCCGATGCTATTTGCAGAAGCCAATTTAGATCAAGCAAGTTTGGTGAAAGCTTGCCTAGATGATTTTTGTGCTGCATCCAGAGAGAAAGTTAATAATGTGAAGTTGAAGATCTTCTTCTCGCCCAATGTGAATCACACCAGAAGAGGAGAGATTAGCAGTTTTCTAGGATTCACTCCTATTGCCAACCTAGAGAGATATCTGGGTGTACCATTGCATCACTAGCGGGTGACGAAGCAAACTTATCAGTATATCTTGAATAAAATGAATAGTTGCCTTACTTGTTGGAAAGCTACGTCATTATCCTTGGTAGCTCAACACACTTTAGTGTCTTCCATTGTAGCTGTGACCCCTAGCTACACGATGCAGTCAACTCTTTTGCCTGGCAATGTGTGTAATGAGATCGACAAATGCTGTCGAAGCTTCTTATGGGGAAGCACAAATATTAATCACAAAATTAGTTTGGTTGCTTGGGATGAGGTGTGTCATAGGAAGGAGGAAGGTGGACATGTTCTATGGAATGCTAGGAAGCAAAACACGACCTTTATGATGAAGTTAGGGTGGGGCCTTCTCAAACGCCATGATTCGCTATGGGTTATATTCATGAGAGAGAAGTATAAATGTGGCAACGATACCCTTCCAAAGATTGAGAGTAGAAAAAGGGAGTCAACAGCTTGAAAAGGTATCAAATTTGATGGGGAGTCAACTCTGAAGGGGATTGGTTGGAGGTTAGGGGATGGAACCAGTACTAGGTTTTGGGATGACTTGTGGTTACCGAATCATGGAAAGCTACGTTCGCATGCTGTGACTTGTAGTAAGGAACCTGAAAGTTGCTGGCTATATTTCGAGTTTTGGGCAATGGGAGTGGCATAGGCTGGTGGACTTTCTCCCAGGCACAATTCTGAGTAGCATTAATCGGTATTACCCCACGCTTGTGGAAGGTTCAGTGGATGGCCCAAGATGCATGTTGACAAACGATGGTGAATTCTCCGTGAAGTTTGCTTATAAGAGCTTATCTAGATACGAGCATATTCCCCTTAAGGATCTTTGGAGGAAATTATGGAAGCTACATGTTCCCTAATGGTGTAAAACCTTCCTTTGGATCTGCGCCCAAGGGAGGTTGCTTAACAAACAATGCAAAAGCAGCGAGACGTTTGCAAAGCACTACGAGCTGCATTTTATGTGTTGCAATGGTAAAAGATAGCATGCATGCTTTATGTGATTGTAGAGTTGCTTCAGGTTGCTGGGACTCTGTGCTACCTATTCCAATGAGAGCAAAATTCTATGAGTTTAAAGATCTAAGACGATGGCTGCATTGGAACATCACGTTGGAATGTAAAATCTTCAACGTTAGTTGGAGAGTCTACTTTGCAATCCTGAGCAGGCACATTTGGCTGAACAGAAATGCGGGTACCTTTGAGGGAAAAGCTAAAGGGCATCAGCAAGTGATGGCTCAGGTTCATGCAATAATAGCTTGTTCAGATACCGAGCTGTGTAAATCTCAGTGCAAGGCGTTAGTAAGATCACACTAGATGCCTCCCTTTGTAGGCTGTGTTAAGATTAATGTGGACGATTCTTGCGTTGAGCTGACGGGCGTGGCAGTTTGTGCTGCTATTGCAAGAGACCATGATGGACACGTGCTTGATGGTTTTATGTTTCGTATTGGATAGGGGAGCAGCCTCCATGCACAACTATGAGGCGTTCTTTGGGGCCTCAAAAGAGCCTGGGATGTGTGATGGCACTGAGTGATTATTGAAACTGATTGTTGGGAAGCGGTGGAGTTAATAGAGATGGGCTGGGATGATGAACACGTTGAGGTTGGTCTGTTAAATGAGATAAGGAAGCTGCTATAGCGAGACTGGGATGTACGCATCAACTGGTGCAGTAGGGGGGTGAACTTAATGACGGACTCTTTGGCTAAAGCGGCACTGAATGTTGAGGAGGGCATCCACTTTTTCCATTCCCCTCCTGATTTCATTGTTCCTGCTCTTAGATACAATACTGTAGGATAGGTTCTTTTCATGTTTTTTTCTCTTTCTTTTCTCATAAAAAGAAAAAGGTAGCATACATTATACATCATGTAAACCAAGTCAAACACAATAATAAATGAATCATAAAATTATACATCCATATAAAAAGTTTTATCACTATCCTATAAATAAGACCAAAAATGTCTTCTCTCTCTACCCTATAAATAAGATCAGAGGAGTAACTCATAAAGTTTCCTATCATTTGAGGATATTTGGAATAGTAAAATAAGAGAGTCAAGGAGAATTTATTTCATCAGCATTCCATGGCAAAATTTTACAACGATCTTTCATCCAGTTGTTATTTATTTCCAAAAATGAAACTGCATAGACAAAAATCCATGATTCAAAAATGAAAGGATTCAAGTGATAGTTAAGGTCATAAATGAACCATTATAAGGTGAAAAATACACGAGAAAAAATGGTGAAGAATTTCTAAACAGGAAGGTTATTCACCCTATCAAATACATTCATAAGCACAATACCACTTGTACATGCTTCCCTTTCTTTCTTCCTTTGCTTTTTTCTTTTTTTTTTTTAAAACAAAATTTTAGCCAAGGGATTGGGCTCACCCACAAGCTGAGAGCAGAAAAACTAACCCCTAACAAGCTCTTACAAAGTGCGTCACTTAGCTACCAATATGGCTCCCCAAGCGCCATAATGATCTTAGGAATCAAACACCCTCCTGTTAGTAGTGAGATGTCCGATCTTTTAATCCTTGAACCCACACTTCACTTTCTATTAACAAGAGCTGATTGTTCATTTGGTCGAGGCCCCCAGGGGTGGTTGGAAATTCTCTCTCTTATATCTCTCAGAGTATGGACTAGCCCACCTCTGGCACTACCAATAATCATTACAAGAGCAGATCCCATCTTGAAAATGATGGTAACGAATAGGATCCCTTACTACAATATGCCGCTGCTCTAACTTTGCTACAAGTTTTGCAAATAAATGACAATCTCCACATATCCTTAGGTTCTTCCCTATTCTAATGGTTTTCTCCCTGGGATGGTTCATTATACCAAAGACAATTGCCAATTTCTCGCTATGGTATCGAAGGGAATTTTCTCCTTGTTCCTCTTCAAGATCTTGCAAGACAAAATTTGTGTCAGGAACATAACCAACACTAGTAAGTCGAGAAATAAGCTCATTCAACTGTCTATTGATCTGATTTATCTGAGGGTGTGATGTACCTCCCAAAGTAAAAGCATGTATCTGCTTATTGACATCAATCCAGCTACATCCAGGTTCTTTCCTAACGCCTCTTGCTCTCATACTCCTCCTTACTTTTGCAACATCATCCCACCTTTTTGAATTTGCATAGATATTAGATAAAAGTACATAGGCTCCTGTATCTTGTGGACTCAGCTTAAGTATTTCTTTGGCAGCTAGCGTGGCTAAATCCACATTGTGATGGACCCTGCATGCATCAAGCAAAGTCCTCCACATCACAACATCTAGCTTGCAATTCATTTCATTAATTAACTTAACTGCATCATCAAGTTTCCCAGCTCTTCCAAGAAGATCAAGCATGCAAGTATAATGCTCTCTTCCAGGATCAATCCCATAAAGTTCCTTCATGGAATGAAAGTAGTACAAACCTTCATTTACAAGCCCTGCATGACTACATGCAAACAGAACCCCAACAAGTGTGATGTAGTTTGGTTTTGGACCAGAGGTTTTCATGTACTCGAATAAGTTAAGTGCCTCTATGCTACAACCATTTTGGGCTAACCCAGCAATCATGGTACTCCAAGAAATTACATCCTTCTCAATCATCCGATTAAAAATTGACTTTGCATCCTCCAAACCACCGCACTTACAGTACATATCCAAAAGTGCATTGTTGAGGATCAGATCCTGGTCAAACCTCAGAACATGAACATGGACCTGCTGTCCTAATTCTAACATTGCCAAACTAGTACATGCTCTCAAAACACTCGTAAGCGATGACTGATCAGAAAGAAAACCAGCTCTTCTCATGCTCTTATAAAGGTACAACGCTTCATCTCCATCACTGTGCTGAGCAAAAGCCCCAATGATAGAGTTCCAAACAACAGAGTCTCCAGTCACCATCTCATTGAAAACAGTTAATGCTTCTTGCAGCTCACCCAATTTTGAGTAAATATCAATAAGAGCACTCCGAACAAATACATCAGACTCCAATCCTACTTTTGTTATACAAGAATGCAGTTGCTTGATATCACGTAGCCTCTCACAAGCTCTCAAAACAGAAGACAACGTGAACATATTAGGCATGACACCTTCTCTAAGCATAAGTGTCAAAAAATTCAAGGCCCTTGCATTGAGCTTAGAGTTAGAGTAAGCGGATATCATTATTGTCCACGAAACAACATTTCTTTCAGGCATTTTTTCGAACAGTACCTGTGCTTCTTCCAAGAGATTGAATTTCACATACATGTTGAGCATGGTATTGATTAAGAACGTCTTTGGCTCATACCCATCAGAGAAAATGTGTTTATGAACGCGCTTACCTTCACTGATAGCCCCACGAGCCAAGCAACCTTTAACAAGCTCGGAATAAGTGATCGCATGAGCCCACACTTTGTGCCTTTCCATGGCTTCCAACGCTCGCATGGCTCTGGGAAGGTCTCTCTTGTAGCAAAAGTTGGCGAAATCATTGAGCAGTGACGAAGAATTTACAGTTGAACTACGTGTGGATGCAAGAGATGTGAGGCAGGACGAACAAGGAAATCGCTTCAGGTACGGCAACAACCGTGAAATTGCTTTCATGGGTTTGAGTTTCTCTGCTATGTTCTCAATTCAAGGAGAAATTGGATTAACAATACCTTATTCACATCAAAAGCCCAAACCATCATTAACCAACAGCAATCTTTACTCACTCGAAGTGACAAGCACAGCAGCAGCTTTTTACGGAATGATTAATTTAATGCATGTCCGGACGGAGATGGGAGCGTATAGCGTTCCTGACTTCCTGTGAATAAAACCTATATTTAATTATTTATTATACTAGACATTTTTTATATTAAGAAGTTGGTTAAAAAATTAGCAAGACCACTTAATCACCTACACTAAAAAGTTAGCTAAAATGTAGCATGGTCAATAAATATAATGAGTAGAAAAAAGGACATTATAATTAATTCAGGGCAGACATAAAAAAAAAAATTAGTCAAAATATCATGCGTAGTTTAAGCGTATCTGATCATGCCTGCTCCAAAAAAAAAAATTACTGAATCATTTTTTATAAAAAATAATTGATATATAGAACTAGGAATGTGTAACAACTTCAGATAAAATTTGATGTTTGCATTGTCATTAAATAAATTATTAATATATTCTTTTGGTTCTAAATATAAGACCCATTTTGTAATATAAATTATATTACAAAATAAGTCTTATATTTAGTACTAGAAGAATATTATATAAAAATTTAATTTCCTATCATTATTTATTCAGTATGTAATTATGTATTCAAGCAGATCTTATTTTGTAATAGGTTACTATTTCTTTTTTTAAAATAATAAATTTTTAACTATAAATATTTTGTGCACATGTATTGCAATTTTTTATGAAATTTATATGATTTTAAAATTTTAAACGAAACTACAATATTATAAATTTGTTGATAAATTTATAGCTTGTTTAGGAATATTTTAGGCTGCCTAATAAAATGTTCTTTTTTTTTTTTACTGAAAATAAAATGTTTGTATGGAGGAAAGTTCACTTGAAATCAAATTTATCCAGGTCAACCTTTTAGTCACATGATGAATACAAATCTCATTGTTTCCCAATAGCAAACTAATAAACCTTGGCAATATTTCAAATCTAAATTAGTTTGTTGAGTCACTTATGACTCATACATCATTATACATTTATTATAGAGACTCGAGCAGAGAAATGAATGGAGAAATCATTGCAATTGCAAACCATCGAGTTATATTTAATAATTTGGATTTGATATTTTCAAAAGCATAAATTAATCTATATTATTAAAATTTGATTTCAATAATTTAAAACCGTAATTAAGAAGAGAGAAAGAATAACACTCACCATACTCTAATCTTTTACGCTAAAAACGTTGGTCCCAATAGAAATTTTGACTGCTTAAAAGATATACAAAAGGTCTCAAGTTTGAATATGTATAAATGCAAAAACACATGTTTAAGAAAACTATTCCCAAAACCGACAATGCTCAAATTTGATAAGAGTCAAATGTATTCTTCCAGCATGTATTAAAAAAGTTTCAAAAAAAGAAAAACAGAGAAAGCTCTACCTTTGCCCTTCCATCAATCCTTATTCTTCCAGCAGACATCAAATGTTCTTTTTACTTTGGAAGAATAATTGTTCATCGCACACTTTTTTTTTGGGGAATATGTAGAATAAAATACAACGATAATTTCAAGATCAAGAGATATAGTTTCATCCCCTTATTATGAAAAAAAAAAAATAAATATTATTAAATAATGATTACAAGAAGTCAAAAACATAATAATCAAATGTTTTCATTCCCGCCAAAAATTAAATTTCCTTGTAAACCTCACTTCAAATCTAGTATGCCAAACACTGTAAAATAGGTTTCCCAAAATAAGACTTTCAGGGAAACCTCAAGGGAAGTATTGCCACTGTGTATCATTTAGATCAGAGTTCTCCGTAGAGACATCATGGTATACAATAAATTATGAGTGTGAAAAAAGATCCTAAATTCTGTGTGCTCCCTAGCATGTCCCTTCAATCCCTTCATTGATGGGCGAAAGATCCTCGGCTTCAATCTATTCAACCTAGATAATAAATCAAACAAGCTTGGCTGAAGTTAATTAACTTAATCATGGCCCTCTAGAAATTTCTCTATCACGACTGAGAATGCTGCAAAACCAGCACAACCGGCGCATGCCGCTTTAGGACCACCTAGAACCAGAAAACAAAAGAATGGTAACAGATAAGATTGAGATAAAGCCAGAACGGAATAATATAATAGTAAATCCATACATTTCATCTTCTGATTTCTTGAATAAGTTTCAACTTGTCTTCGTTTCCTTTTGCTTAATTTCTTTTGTCCATTTATTTTTCTCTTAGTTGATTTTCCCCTTTACAGCCTCTAATACACTATTCCTCCAGCCATGATGGCAATTACACTTGGATAAAAAACAAATAGAAAAAGGAAATACTAAAGAACTTTCTGAAATATAACCAAAGGATTCACTCCAGCACTTGCACATTATAGAGTTAACTCTTAAACTCCTTACAAGTCTAAAGCTAATGTTGTATACTCGGATCCCCAAAACTTGATGGTCAAACTCTAAATCCTTTAAATTTGCATGTAGCTTTCCTGTTTATGCAAGTTTAGCAAGTTTTCTGTCCCCACTTATTGGGCCATTTAAACTCTTACTGCAGCCTAGATTCCAAAACATATGCTACAAATTATCCTATAAATAGGTGAACCAGTGTCACGTTGGAGAAAATAGTCCAAAACTTGCATAAATCCCTTTCCTATAAAGCAAAGCTAAAATATAGAAGCTGAGAATAGTTGTAAACTAGTGATAAAAGACAAGTAACTGCTATTTTTACAGTTCACGTTCTATTTATCAATAAATTCTATGCTGTTGAGGCTTTATTTATTTATTTTGAATAAAATGTTCAAATAATGAGCATCGACTATCAACTATGAAGGATTTGACATTCGTGGTTTTGAACAACTAATTTTCACTGGTGATATTTGTCATGGTCATGCTATGTTTTTCCTTTTCAGGATTAGTTTGCACCTGTATGGCTGTATGAATTGACTCTACAGGTTTTTTGTGAATTTGCATAATAAACACAATCGTTTTAGCGTTTAACATCCATTACCAGGTAACGATATGTACAGTGTAGATGCTACAGTGGACGTCACTGAAACTGCTTTCTTCTCAATCAGTTCTAATTATGTGCATGATTAGCAGTAACTGATGAAGCCTAATGACTTCAAGGTGCATGCTAAAGCAAGAGGGCTGGACAGGTGGATGGGGGTAAACATGGCAAATGCCGAGGAAAACTAACTCCAGCGTATTACAAGTATACGGACTGAGGTATATGAGAGAGAAGGCAGTCTCTTAGAGATGGCTCAAGAGGGAGGTCTGATAGCATTAGCTGATGTGAAAATTACAGCAAAGAACCGGAAGAAACCTAACTTTGCATGCTGCTAGAACTCTATTTTGCTTTCTGCTTGTTTATCCTTTATTTTCTTGCAGGTTATCTTCATAATTTTTTCTGTTGATCCATTTTCCTGTACTTGGCTTGGCTCTTGAGCTATCAGTTTCAGAGCACTTCAGTACTCTCAGGCAGGACTGAATAGCTTTGTTTCTTTCCATAAATGCCAATACTGGAAAGGCTTCAGCAGTTATCAGCACTGATGAATTCTCCAGTTATTGTGCTCCCCATTTCTTTTTGTATATAATTTTAGATCCTTTGCCAATTGCCATATCTAGTTTTTATACTTACATCTCTACCAAATTGTTGAAGCCATTTTGAATTCCTTTATCCGTTTTGGAAGAGAGACTTGCTTAGAACTACCAGACGCCTGAAGATATGTACTAGCAGACTATTTTCCCGCCTAGAATACTTGTTTTTCCCCCTTAAACCAATTTTCAATTTCTCCAGACTGTCAAGTAACCTTTTAAAGCACTTTACTCCTCTTTATGAAAATGAACCTTAAGAATCTATCTCCCTCATCCCTAAGCTCCAATTAACCAAGAGTAAGTAAACCTTGAGCTCTAATATGTCCTGGTTGTTTCTATTACTCGGTTTCTGGCCCAAGAAAGGTAAAAGGTTATACAGTTGGGCAGCACATATGGAAAGTAAATAGGTCTAGAAAGCACCACACATAGAGAATGTAAAAAGGAAATTTAAAAATGAAAAAAGCAAGTATAGTTCGAATCGGGGAGGAGTTACCTTTTGCTGATATAGCACCTCCAGTAACACATCCAGCAACAACTGTATTTGTTGTGTCATGTTTAGCTCGTGCCTGAAAAAGATATTATTAAAAAAAGAAAGAAAAATAACCTGACAAGTTTAATCTAATAAAAATCTTCAATCAAAAACTTCATGAGAGTCGCACCTTCTCAACAACACATTCAGCTGCTGAGAATATCAAACCCATGACAGCAAATGCTTTGGCTGAACTCAAGCTCCTTCGTCCCATCTGCTTTGCTTGATATATTAGTTTTTGCCTCCCAGTCATTTCATCCTCCATCAGATGCGTGTCCATGGATCCGAGAAACAAACCCATGAACAAGCCAATCCCACCTCCTAAGAACATTACATTAAATGATAAAATAAATATGTGGCCATAGATAGCTTTCCATGTCTAGGGTGAAGATGAATGTTTATTAAATCACATCTGGAGCCGGACAATTCAATTTATGTAGAGGTAAAATTATGCTTTGAAATCAAAAAATTGGAGAATGAGGCTGCTACTGTCATACCCATCACTCCACTTACGACGCTACGCACTGCACAATTGTTCCAAATGTCTTGACCACGAATTTCCTCAACTGTGGGCAATCTTATGGGTTGAATCTGAGGTTTCTCGGCTTCTTTCAAGGTCGAAGAGCTTCCAGATTCATTTCCCGAATTATCAGCCATTTATATGGCTCAGATCCAAAATATGCAAGAGTTAACTGAAATCCCCTGTAAAACAGAGCGTTTGGAAAAAAATGAGAATTCATAAAAAGGATGTTAGGCACAGTCTCTTCAATTTCCACTACCAAAACAGTACTCAGCACAATGAAGGGTCAAGATGCCAAATAAACAGGTTAATCTCAAACTTCAACAATCTCCACGTCAATTATGAAAAGTTTTCGCAATGAATAACTCAATTCCTATGAAAGTATCACAAGAATGAATAAGAAATATGT